CATATTAGGCCACACACCCCTAATGTAGCCAATCCTCCAAGAGCTTACAGTAGTTCCTGTAAGAAGAGCTCTGTAAGCTCTTGGAGGATTGGCTACATTAGGGGTGTGTGGCCTAATATGAAAAGGAGTACCTGCTACAAAAAGAGAACATACTAAAACTGTGACAGTCTCTCCCCCCCCCCCACAGTGTTAGGTACGGCCCACCTCTCCCCTGGCCCGAAGTTTCGCTGCCTTGCCCATCTCTAGCCCTTTGGGCGATCCCTCGTGACGCCGGTCTCTCCCCCCAGCAGTGCCGCAACGCATTCCCCCCACGCCACGTCACTCCTTGGCTCACCAAACGGTTCCATGCCTGCGGCAAAACACCTGGAGACGCCGCTTTGTTCTCTCCAGCGGAGGAGGACTGTATCTCCCCGCCATCTCTCGCTGACGACCTCGCCCCAGTTCCTCATGTTCGTATCCCCTTGCGTGCTTCACTTTCCCCCGGGCCGTGCACGTCGGGGATCTGAGACACAACAAGAGAGAAGACCTGTGTCGGACTTGACTGCTTTTTGGCTGTATGGTTTCGACCGAGCGACCGCAAACACCAGGTGTAGAAAGAATGGCAGGGAGAGGCCGGCGTGTTTGTCGACATGCCTTCCTTGCTCTGATGGTGCCCCCCATCCATCATTTTCCGTTTCCAATGAAGTGGTTTCTGGCCTTCAAATCTAGCCCAGATGACCTTGCGCAGCTGGTTCTGGAACACTGTGGCTGGATGGAGTTGGATAGGTTGTCTCGGTGTAGTGGTTGGGAGTGCGGAGTCTGATCTGGGAGAACCAGGTTTGATTCCGCACTTCTCCACTTGCAGCTGCTGGCGTGAACTTGGGTCAGTCACAAGTTCTCTCAGAGCTGTTCTCTCAAGAGTAGTACTTGAAAGAGCTCTGTCAGTCCCACCTACCTCACAGGGTGTGACTGTTGTGGGGAGGGGAAGGAGATTGGAAGCCGCTCTGAGACTCCTTCGGGTAGTGAAGGGTGGAGTATAAACCCAATCTCCTCCTCCTCCAAGGATCCTGCTGGGTAGGATCCCAGAGGCTTGTATTGGCCTGCAGTGCCTCTAGCTAGTTTTAGTCTTCTTCGTCACCTACATTTCCAGCCCTGTGGCCCACTGAAAGCTTTCAGCATTGGTCAAGAATGGCCGTGGGAGTTAGCATCTGCATGCCAGACCCAGCATTCAGTAGAAAGCAAGGGGTGCCAAGCCTGAGGCTTTACAAAGAACTCACACCCCCTGGTCTGAAATCCGTGTTCCTGGATGTGCAGGGGATTTGGTTGTGTTTACTGAGCAGCCGGCACTCTGTACATGCTCACCGACCTCCTTCTTTATTAACTTCACTGTGTTCCAAAAGAGAGCTGTGGCACTGGAAACAAGTTGCAGGGTCAGGCACCGCCTGAAATGGTCTGTGTAGAATTCCTGGCGGGTGTTTTCCCCCAGTCATCTAATGAAAGTGCTTTTCTTGTTTCTTTTTGGTATTTTTGCATTGTGTGTGTGCACTCAATTCTGGAAGTCACGGCAACCCCTGGTGACCCCTAGTGGGGCATGGAGGACGTTCAGAGAGGTGGCTGATATATAGCCTGCCTCTGCGTCCCGGCCCTGGTATTCCTTGGAGGTCTCCCTTCCAAGTACATTCCAGGGTCGGCCCTGCTTAACTTCCGAGATCTGACGAGATTGGGCTCGCCTGGGTTATCTAGGTCAGGGCTAATGAACGTACTTCTCTAAATGGTTCTTTATTTTCGGGCTCTTTTTGTAGCAGAAGCTCCTTTGCATATTAGGCCACACACACCCCCGATGTAGCCAATCCTCCAAGAGCTTACAGTAGCCTCAGTAAGAAGAGCTCTGTAAGCTCTTGGAGGATTGGCTACACTAGGGGTGTGTGGCCTAATATGCAAAGGAGCTCCTGCTACAAAAAGAGCCCTCAGTCGAATCCCAACTTGTTTAGTTGTCACAATACCATGTGGTGCTCTGTTGAGCCTCACTGGAATCAGAGGCAGACTCTTCAGTAAATTCTACGACGGTTCTCCCTGTGGATGGAAGTAGCCCATGTTGCATTGAGTGGCATTGGCTATTACCTCTCCTTCAACAGCTGTTCTTGTGAGATCATTAAGGAGGCCAAACTGGAACGCCTCTTTTCTGGTAGATTTCCATCGCCTGCCTATTTCCAGGAAGGAGTTAGGCATGACAGAGCAGAGGGAGAGAGAGAAGAGGCGGCAGGGAAGTGTAAAGCAGACAGTTTCCTAGCAAGCGGAAAGGCCACATATAGATCTAATTGAGATCCGTTTTGAGGTGGAAATTAGTTGCACGTTCCCTCACCACAGTCTCACTTAATCTTTGTTTTCCTCATGTGGTTTCATCTTCCAGAGGCACTGCTGGCTTAATATAGCTGAGGTTCTGTTCATATATCATTTATCAACGCCAAAAAAGCAATCGAAGGGGAAATCACTTTAGCGATAACCGTTAATTGGGCCTGTAGGTGCCCCATGAAAAGGAGCCAAAAGTAGTTGGAAGGATCTACGTTTTTAGCTTTGTGCTCTGCTGCAGAGTCCTTCTTTCCCGTCTCTCCTTAACATTTCTGAGAGTGCCGTGAATAGAGGAGACCTGTGAGGCACACTTTTAGCATTCTCACGTGAGGTGGATATCGCTGTCCCGAACAGAACAGTGTTTAGCGCTCAGTGTGAAACCACCACAAAGCGGTTGGAAGGGCGGGAGCGGGCACTGTAAATATTTCCACTTTTGTTGACTATCAAGTGGATGGATTGTTGAAAAGAATTCATTATTCGCTCAAGATGAAATGACACTAGATAAATCACAAATGGTGCCAGTCCTCAGCTGCTGCAACTCAGCAAGCGGCTCTTCTTAGCTATGAGGGGGAGCCTCTGAACTGGAGGGCGGCAGCCATTTTGAGGGGCCACAGCTCAGTGGTACAGCAGACAGAAGGTCCCAGGTTCTGTCCCCGGCATCTCCAGTTAAAAGGGCCAGGCAGGAGGTGATGCGAGAGACCTCTTCTGCCTGAGACCCCGGAGAGCCGTTGCTAGGGTTGCCAAATCTGAGGTGGAAAATACCTGGAGGCTTTGGGGGTGGAGCCAGGAGAGGGCAGGGTTTGGGGAGGGGAGGGGCCTCATCATAGTACAATGCCACCCTTCAAAGCAGCCATTTTCTCCAGGGGAGCTGATCTCTGTCAGCTGGAGAGTAGTTGCAAAAGCGGGAGATCTCCAGGCCCCACCTGGAGGTTGGCAACCCTAGCCGTTGCCAGTCTGAGTGGACAACAGTGATCCTGATGGATTGATGGTTTGATTCAGTACAATGCAGCTTCATGTGTTCATGTGAGCAAAACCCCCCATAAATTTACAATTTTATAAATCAGAACTTTGATATTGTGAGCTGTTCAGAGACTGTCAACTTGGATTTCCTGTACTTCAAACTACCATTTGTTCAAGCTTAAAGTTACAACCGTGAGGACTTGAAACTTTTTTTTCTAAATTAAGCTGGAATTCTTCTGGTCCAGTGAGAGATCCCCAGACCAACAGCGACATAAGCCTGCGGGTTCATCCTTCTCTGTCTCTCTCTCTCATAGGTCTTTGTGGCCAGCCCAAACAAGTCACCTGCCATTGTGGACATCCTGTTGAAAAACCAGCCCAAGCTCATCGAGTTCCTGAGCAACTTCCAGACGGAGAGGGCAGACGACGAACAGTTCACGGACGAGAAGAACTACCTGATCAAACAGATCCGAGATCTGAAAAAGCCGGCTCCGTGAGGGTCTCCTTTTCCGGTCTTCTAACGAAAGCCTTGATCTCGTTCTGTCCGTGTCGTTTGGGTAAGGGTGGGGGTGATGCACAGTGCGCTGTCAAAGTGCCACTTTTTTCTATGCTAAAGCCAGTATCTAGAGTGGTAGCCAATTTTACACAGCTATGCGGTCCCAGAATTATATCTTTTAATCAAGCCTATGATTGTCAGTCAGACGTGATCCTTATTCTCCCGCTGGCTGGAGGCCGCTTTGCTACTACTTTAACAAGACCAGGTGATCGGTCCGTGCAACCTTAAAGCTCCTACTTTGGGTGACTGTCTTTTGCATTGTCGGTATGGTGTTGTGCGCTCTGCCCCCTCTGTGGTAGTGCAGTTTGAAGCCAAGGAAATAAGGGCGAGATTTTACTTTGCGTTCTTTCCTAGTTGGTGTAAACGATTTCTGTGCTCTCACCTCCTCTGCACAGCCGAGAGTTTTCTCCTCACTGTTCCAGTTCACTTTTTTGTGGATCGACGCGACACTTCTGAGAGGGGGAGGGGGAGATGCACAGAATCAGGGACAGATCCTCTTAGGATGTAGATTGGTCGGACTTTTAAACAGGCGATCGCCTGGATAAGAATTAGTCCTGTCTCTTTTTCTCTCCGTGGGGACCAAATAGCCCCCTTCAGTGAAGACGAAGTAGGCCCAACTGTTGTACTATAGAGTTTCTCATTGAGGTTGTGTGTGTTTTCATATTGAATATTGTGGCCGATGGATAGAAATTGCTCATGGGACAGGCGAGAAATAGCCGTTGAGCAAGGGTTGAGCAGTTCAGCTGATTTATGGCAGGCGAGGCAGGACAGGAGCAGCAACGGGCTTTGTAAGAAGGGCATGGGGGGGCTACGCTAATGAGCACTTTGTTTTTTAGGGAGAGGGGACCGAGATGTGGATGCTGTACTCGCCTGGCCTAACAGGGATGCCTCCTCCCTCTCCCCCACATGAAAGCAACCATTTTGAGCCTGTTTCTTACTTTAGACTTTATATGGGAAAATATTAACCATTTTTGAGTGTGTAATCTGAACGTTAAGAATGTGAATCCAGCTTTGTAAAAGGCTGATTTTAGAAAAAATCATTGCACTGTAATGTTTGTGATTAATAATAATAATAAAAAATGTTCCCATAAGCACCCATTTTTCATTTTTAAAATCAATATTTCTGCTGCCTTTTGATGCTGGGTGCTTGGCTGGGGTGCTGGGAGAGTGATATCCGTCAATCAGTTTATTGTTACGGCCCTAGACCAGCGAACAGTACAATAAGAGGCAGGTAAATAACAGGTAAAAGAACAGTAAAATGGGAGAGTGATAATTTAGGCTTTCTTGACATAAAGATCTTCTGAATTCGACTGCTAGGATTAGTCTGCAAATATTCAGTAGAATACTTAAGCTGTCAAGACTTTGCCCCATAAGTGGAGTCCTTAAAAAGTTGTGTACATTTGCAAATAGATCATGTAGGAAAGGTTTACATAAGACCTGAAGGTTGTAAGAACAGTCTGTACTCGCATTCTCCATTGTGGTGCCCATGGGCACCTGTGCTTGTACTTCCCTTGGTGTCTGCCAGGCTTTTCTGAAAGTGGGCAGGGCCACTGTAAGGCAGGGACTGTTATTGGCTACCCTCATCCGAGTGAAAAGGCTTTCTACTGGAGGATGAGGACTGGTGAGCACCTGGGTTTTCCTTCTTCCAGAAGATGGAATTCACTGCGACGAGAGGTGGCGGCGGCTACAAGCATGGACGGCTTCAAGAGGGAATTGGATAAACATGGAACAGAGGTTCATCAGCGGCTATTAGCCGTAAGGTATAGATAGGGACTCTCGGTCTGGGGCAAGTGATGCTCTGTATTCTTGGTGCTTGGGGGGGGGGGCAACAGTGGGAGGGCTTCTAGTGTCCTGGCCCCACTGGTGGACCTCCTGATGGCACCTGGTATTTCTGGCCACTGTGTGACACAGAGTGTTGGACTGGACGGGCCATTGCCCTGATCCAACATTGGCGTCTCTCGTATGTTCTTAAGATGAGAGAAGGAAGTGTTGTGTTTGGCCCAACCTCCTGGGGCTGCCTCAGAACTCCTCTCAAAATTCCAAAGGTGCCCATAGGCCCAAAAAGGTTGGGGACCCCTGGTTGTTATACCATATGGGCTTGACCTTATTTATCCAAGCGGTTAGAGGTACGATCGTAAGGCCGTATTTGCTGGCTGTACCACCCCTCTCTGCTCTCCTCTTCCACGCTTGCATGTTTAACTCTGTATGGCTTTGGCCTGTCAATAAAGAAAAGCCGCTCCTCCCAGTTCCGTCGCAACCATTAATCCAAGATAGACATTTCATTACTAGACTTACTAAGAGGACCCCCCACTTCAGTCATGAGGTGCCTTTGTGGCTCCCCATCGCTGTCACGCACCAGAACTCAACCTTCTGTCTCCTTTCATTGACGTGCCAGCTCCATTGCTACAGTCGAAAGAGCCCTTTGACAGCCACCTGTGCCATGGAGAAGGGTATCTGTACACAAAGCAATGGTGTAGCCACAGCTATGGAAGTCCTGCCAGAGGAACTTCTCTCTTTTGGGGGTGTCATGAGCTGGAGAGGGGGGCACGAATGCCACAGATGCCTGCCCAAACTTGTGGTCTCCAAACAAAGGCGCCCAACGGCCTATATGTTGCTTTGGCAACCTGCTCGTTTTTCCAGTCCCAGGCAGGCAAATCTCTTGATGGGTTGCTGTAGGCGACTTCTGAGCGGCTTGAAGGATTGTAACTGATACAGCTGTTCCAGGAGGCTTTCCGCTTCAAACCAAAGCTTACATTTTAGTCTTAGTTATGACATTGGGCTGTTTTCTTGGGTGGGGGGGGATATGATGTCTTCACTTTTCTGTGTGCTGGGGATCTGCACAGCTATCATTTTTTCTTGATCAATTTCTGGTGCTACACAGTCTGCTGTCCTACTGAGCCAGTGGGGGAGAGTTCAGGATTTACAGCCATAGAAGTAATGCAGATTACCTGCTGCAAAAAACTAGGTAGGAAATAGCACAAGCACCTTCTTACCTGCTCTCAAAGTGCTGTGCCAAATACAGCTAATCTCCATAAAGGCTCCCTCTAAACTGTGGCATCCTGTGAGCAAAAATTCTACTTGGTGAGCTCCTGGCATTAAAATTGTGAGTTAATTTGGCTGCTGCATGAATTAGTTTGCTCTGAAGCCCTCCTTCCTGAGCTAAGACAAAAATCTGTGAGCCAGAGGCTAAAAAACTGTTGAGCTAGCTCACACTAACTCAGCTTAGAGGGAACACTGATCTTCATATGGACATTGTACCGCACTAATCGTAAGGCAGACTATGTACCCCAAGAAGGCTATTACATCACATGATCACCTTCAGCTGTGGGAACTCCGGGCACTGGTGAACGGGGGTACCTGCTGGTTTGATGAATCTGCAGTTGTGCAAACTCTTTTAACGGGGCCCAGTAAAGAAGATCCAAGGGTTAGAAGTATTTAAACACAAGAGAGAAAAGCAACACAACATAAGCTGCTGTGGCTTTAACTTTGTCCCCAAACACAAATTGTAAAGGACTTCAGCCGGCGTCATAACAGGTTTATTCATTCAACACCAGTTTTAATATTCCCATGCAGTCATGTTCTGTTTAGACCAGAAGGGAAGACAGTTTTATACATGTTGTTCTCACCTGCTAATCCCTGGACATAAAACACACAGTGGGGAGCATGTGAGTCAGCTGATGCCTGGTGCCTGGCTACTCGAGGAACTTTTTTTCAATTTTCATACATGGATCTAGCTGTTCCTCCAGTGACTTGCTGGTAAATCCCTTGCTTGCTTTGAGCGCCCCCTGGTATCTTTTCTGTTACTCTTTCATGCAATAGTTTGTGGTTGGGTAATTGAAGAAGCAGTTAATGATACGGGCAAGGAGGAAAGAAAAGTGCCTTGCAGTTGATACTAATGGTCAGGACCAGTGTTCCCTCTAAGATGAGTTAGTGTGAGCTAGCTCACAGTTTTTTAGCCACTAGCTCACAGATTTTTGTCTTGGCTCAGGAAGGAGGGCTCCAGAGCAAACTAATTTACGCAGTAGCCAAATCGCTTGCTCACAACTTTAATGCTAGTAGCTCACAAACTATAATTTTTGCTCACAAGACTCCACAGATTAGAAGGAACATCAGGATCCCGTACCGCTACTGGCTTCTTTGTATTTTTGGATGGGAAAACACGTCCATGTGTTTACTGTATGAGAGAGTATGTGTATACTGTGTCTCTCTCCCTCACAAAACAGGAGGGGCTATGGCTCAGCAGCAGAGCACCTGCTTGGCATGCAGAAGGTCCCACATTCACTCCCCGCATTACCAGTTAATGGTGATGTGAAAGACCTCTTTCTGAGACCCTGGAGCGGTGCTCCTGGCTCAAGTAGTATAGAAGACTGCCCTTGATAGACCAAGAGTCTCATTTAGGATACGGCAGCTTCAACGGTTCATGCAAGAACGGAGCTCTCTATCAGGTACTGCATTTCAGCATGAGCTGTCTCGCAGTCCATGATGCCGGCTTTCGTTCAGTACAGAAAGTTTGACTAGACTGAGAGTGTAATAACGTTTCTTCATTTGTGTGCGTTTATTCATGTCCACGTTCTGCCTACTCACGTGTAAAACTGGAGGTCAGAGCAGATAACAAAAAGCGGCATGGAGAGGCTGACGGGAATGAAACCTTGTCGCCTTCTCCCGCTGCTCCTGTTCAACATCATGGCGCTCTCTTGTCTGAAGCGCCTTCCTCCCACTTGGGCTCAGTCTGAGCCCTGCAGCCGGGCTGGGAGAAAAATACCTCTCTGTGCTCTGTTGCCTGAAGTAAGGAAAGGGAGCAGCAGGGTTTTCATTTCTCCCACCTAGGCACCTGGTTGTGTGAAGCGCTGCCAAGTCACAGCAAACCCCCCCCCCCATGGTGTTTTCCAGGAAGGAGACGAACAGAGGTGGTCTGCCCTTGCCTGCCTCTGCAGAGCAGCCCTGGGCTTCCTTGGTGGCCTCCCATCCATGTAATAAGCAGGGCTGACCTTGCTTAGCTTTTGAGATCTGACACAATCAGACTAACCTGGACCGTGCAGTTAGCTCTCCCTAAAATAAAGACATCCTCAGGTCCTGCCATACAAGTGGGGAAGAGAACACGCAAGCGTACCTGAATTCCCCCTCCCCCAGAGTTACAGGTCGTTTGTTCCTTTGGTATACAACATTCATTCCAAAGCCTTCTGCGTATCATCTGAGCCGCATGTTTACAGCAGTCCGAAAATAATTTAATCTGAGACAATAATAAATTAAGCGTCCATGAAAAATCATTTTTTAACCTTAGATTTACTATACCGCCCTAAGGAAGAGAACACGCAAGCGTACCTGAATTCCCCCTCCCCCAGAGTTACAGGTCGTTTGTTCCTTTGGTATACAACATTCATTCCAAAGCCTTCTGCGTATCATCTGAGCCGCATATGTTTACAGCAGTCCTAAAATAACTTAATCTGAGACAATAATAAATTAAGCGTCCATGAAAAATCATTTTCAAATTATACAAGGACAATGGGTGTATTAGAGAGTGATGAATAGGTCGGTGGCTCCCAAGGGACACGGCTTTGGCTTGGAGGTCCTGTTCTTCCGCCAATGGAGTTTCATGCCCACCATCTAGAAAGCAAGACATAGGCATGGTTCAGCTACGTCCACTGGTGCACACATACATTCTCCCCCCCTAGACACCCAACCTTGTTGCCAGCTGCTGGCCAGCAACCCTACTGTATGGCCCAGTTCGAAATTAGATCTATGATTTATTTTTCTCACTATATTTCTAGACCAGTTGCTCAAAGCATTTTACAGTAAAGAAGTCTACTAAAGCTGACCAGAACCTTGCATTTTCAAATTATACAAGGACAATGGGTGTATTAGAGAGTGATGAATAGGTCGGTGGCTCCCAAGGGACACGGCTTTGGCTTGGAGGTCCTGTTCTTCCGCCAATGGAGTTTCATGCCCACCATCTAGAAAGCAAGACATAGGCATGGTTCAGCTACGTCCACTGGTGCACACATACATTCTCCCCCCCTAGACACCCAACCTTGTTGCCAGCTGCTGGCCAGCAACCCTACTGTATGGCCCAGTTCGAAATTAGA